AGGAAAAGGTTTTTTTTGCATTTTAAATTTCTCTCTTTTTTTTTTTTTTTTTCCAGGATCCTTTGAAAATGCGTTGGAAGAGAAGCCAGCTCCTTCTCCATTGTTTAAATCTCGTAAACCAGCCTTTTTGGACAGTAGGCAGCTAAGCCAAGGAAGCTCTAACCACACCAAAAAGGATGGGCTCTCTTTGTTCAGTGGCCTTAAATCCAAAAGCGATCCTGTGTCCAAGTCTAGTCTGTGCATCAATGGCAGTCACGTCTATATGGAAGAGACCACAACCAAGGACAAGACTCCAGCCTCGTCCCCCTCTCCTCACAACCTCAGGAGGAAACAGCTCTTTGCTTCAGAGGAGAACCTGTCCTCCAGGCCCACTAAATCACCTGAAGAGATGGGAAGAACCTCTCCTGGTCAGGCTGTCTCCGGGTCCACGTCCTTGGAGACTTTCAAATCCATGACTTTGCCGTCATACAAACTGCTCAGCAGTGAGGAGCACCTGGACACCAGCATTCCACCAAGCATAGAGGCTGTTAGAGAGACAAAAAAAACAGACCACAAAAAGTCTGCCTTGCTCTCCCTGGTCACTGGGAAGAAGGAAATGGTGAAGACTGGCGATGCTGAGATTATTCCTGACAGGACCCTGCAGAGTGAGGAAAATACAATTCCAGAAGAGAAGAGTGAAGAGGAGGCCAAATGCCCTGAAGTCCCAGCAGATTTGGGCAGAGGGAGCCCGTCAGGAGATGCTCACCATGCAGAGGTGGAGGAGGCCATCACAAACAAGCAGCTGCTCAGCCCTTTTGAGGAGGAACGGAAACCTGAGAAAGCTGCACCAGCCAAGACCAAAGCTGTGAAACCCAGGTGAGTCCCAGCTGCTGGCAGGAGTTGGGATGGGCAGTGGTGGTGGCAGGTGGCAGCAGGCTGTGTCCTGCCACACCTGGGCTCAGGTGCTGCTCTGTGGGTACCTGGTGTTGGGTGCTTTGACAGCAAATAACAACTCCCGAGTTCTTCCTCAGTAGGAAAAATGATGGATGTAGGGATGCTCCTCGTAAGCAATGCTGAAATAGGGGTTCTCTAGCACAGGCACCTGTGGGGTGATTTTTCTTGCTGGATCTCTTGCACAAACTAACTGTGTCTGAGCTGTGTGGCTGCAGCCTCCCCAGGGTCTGGAATGCCTGTTCTAACATCTCTGCTTTCCTCTTCCCTACTTGGCTGTGGTCTTCCAAAGGGTGGCCTTGGAGCCCTTCTGCTTTTGGCATCGTTCACAGCAGCACAGAGGGATGTTGTGTGGATTTGTACACAAGGCTTTTTCGGAAATTCTGCTCCTTTATCCTCCATACACGTGTATATATATAAATTGTGTTTGGGGTTAGGTGTGTCCTACTAATACGGCTGTGTTTTGTGTGTGTCCCTAACTCCTCATTTTCAGTGCTTCTCAAGTTTAAGTTTCTTGCCTGTGCAGTGTTTTACATACTAATAAACCTGCTTGGGGTGCTTAAAGCAGCAAAAACAAGCTCTGCAGCAGAAGAGTTCTGACATAAGCCCAGTGTTTGGTAAAGGTGCAGTTAAGGATATCAGGTCTCACGGACCTCTCTGAGGTCTCTTTAAAGTATAGCTCATCTCCAGTGGCAGAGCTGATGGAGGCTGCTGCTCAAGCTTGTCTGTTCCTGCCTCGTGTTGCATCCGCAAGTGACATGCGAGTTTTTTGTCCCTTTTTGCAGACTGGGCCTGTCTCCAGAGGAGGAACCCAAAGCCACGCTTCCCACTCTTGCACCTGACCCCCTCCCTGCTTTTCTCTCTGTGCACCGTGTCAGCAGTGCAAATAATCCTTTCATTTCTAAAGTGGGGCAGACAGTCCAAGTGCCAGACTCTGAAAACATCACTAGTTCTCCTGCCTCTCTCACTTCTCCTGCGTTAACTGCAGAGCTTTGGAATGACAAGAACCCCTTTACTCCTGGATGGGACAGGGCATCCAGAGCCCTGGATCCCAACAGCGTTGCCCGTTTCCCTTCATCCCATCACCCTGCAGCCTCCGTTCCCAAAGCACCTCTTGCTGGGCAGGTCTCTGCTAGGGTCAATAATCCTTTTGCTGCTGACTGGGGCCAGGGTCCTGGGGGCTCTGGCATGGGGGCTTCCCGGGGTCTCTCTGGCCCACCCACACCTTCTGTCCCCTCTGACTGTCGTTTCAATGGCAACAATCCCTTCGTGTCCAAGCGTGGGGAACAGGCAGTGCCAGGTGTCCAGGCTGTTGCTGGTTCTTCCCCTTCTTGCCTTTCTGGTGGTGAGGACTGTTCCTCTGCAGGACACCCTGCCCGTGGTGCTTCAGGGGGCTCTGTGGAAGTGGCTGTAACCAGTGATGTCACAGCTGTGCCAGATCCTCTCAGCACCTTGTCTGACTCCCCTCCTGCCCCCCCTGGGCTGTCTCCAGAGCTGCACTCTGATTCTGCCCGGCTTCAGCCTGAGGATTCTTTGGAAAGCAGCGAGCCAGGCAACGGGAGATCTGTGTCCTTTGTCCTTGGGGGATGGCAGGGTGTTCCACCAGCTGATGCGGGTTTGGGTGGGCAGGAAGGTGGAGAGCAGCACCTGGACTCCAGGGGAAGGTTACAGATGGCTTCAGGGGCAGCAGGAGAGCGAGCAGGGTTTGGGGATGAGCTGGGAGCAGGGGGTGACCCATCGACAGAACTCTCTGGGGACAGCACACATCCCACCTGGAAGAGTGATGGAACAGCTGTGGAGGTCACTGGTGTGAGCACTGAGCCCTGCACCAAGGGTCACAAAGGTTTTGTGTCTCTCTCCAAGTCCAGTGCCAGCCTCGTGCCAGAGGCTGACCAGGCACCGTTCCCTGAAAGCGAGCTCAGGGAGGAGCAGCTCAGGGAGCCCTGCACTGGAAAGCAGTGGGCAGGATGTGTGCCCATGTTAGAGCCCCAGGCACCTGCTGGAAATGAATCATTTTCTCAAGTCCAGCCAACCCTGAGAGCCTGCACAGTGTCCCCGCAGGAAGGGGGTTCAGGGAGGGCTGGTAGCGAGATCCTTGTCCCCCCAAAGCCAGCCCCACGACTGGCTGTACTGCTGAGGAAATCCCCACCGACTTCCCAGGCTGAGCTGAGGGGTGATGTTCCTGCTTCAGGTGATGTAAAATCCACACCAGGGCTCCCTGAAGCCTCAGCTGTTCGTGGGTGCCTCCCTCAAGGTGGCTCCTTGGAGACCATCACCCCTCCAGTGACAGCCAGGGGTGACAGCAATGACAGGCCTTTAGGAAAGGAAGGTGATGATGATTTCTCTGTCAGTCTCACAAATGTCAGGTCTCTCATGGCTGCTCCCGGAGGCTGGGGCTCAGCACTGGCCAGTCTTCCAGTGATCCCAGAGGGAGGCTCTGATGACGAGCTGCTGGGGGACTGTCAGGAGAGCTGTGGGGTCACTGCAGGGGACAAAGGGGTTTTAGGGACTGGAGAGCAGCCCCGAGGTTTGACACCTTTGCATGGAGAACCAAGAGAGCAGCCGGTGATCCTGGCTGCTCCGGGAGGAGGAGGAGCTATTCCTGGTGCTTGTCAGCCAGGGAGTTTGGCTGTGCTGCCTGCTGCAGTGGGTGCTCCCAGGGTCTGTGTCCAGGGAGCTGACTCAAGCTTAGGCGTGACACCTCATTCCAGGGAATGTGACAGTCATTTTGAGAAACAAGAGCTGGAAAGGAGTGCAGGTGTTGAGGAGCGTGCAGAGTGTGAGTTCTCTGAGCCTTCTGCTTTCTCTTCCTCCCTGTCAAGTCCTTGCCAGCCCCACTCTTCCTCTCATTCCCTTCTCTCTGACACCCCAAGTCGTAGAGCAGAGTCTCCGAAAAAGCCAACAGCCGAGGGCTTCGCAGATAAAGCGGGAAATTCGGGCAAGAAGAAACTTCTCCAGGCACGGGTTTCACCCTCTGAAACGTTCCCTAACCAAACCCCATGGGGTGGTGAAACCGTGTCTCCCAAGCACAGGTGAGACCATGTGGGGATCACAGCAGGCACCTCTGTGCAGGTGTGAGCTTTGCTTTGCTCTCTGGGTGCAGATCTGTCCCTCTGGCTGCTGGATCTGACCGGGACCGCACAGCCCTGGCTTCCTCTGGGACCTGCATTTGTCAGGGCTTGGGTGCTGTCAGCCAGTGTGGGGTTGCTGCTGGCTCCAGGAGGATCTGTGCAGCTCCTCAGGGTGCCCAGGGGAGCAGCTGCTCATCACAGCTCTCAGGGGCAGTGCAGGTGGAATGGAGTCATTTCATCCCATTGGCAGAATGGCCTGGGACTGAGCTGTGTGTGAGACACGGGAGAAAGGTCACCCTGAGAAAGGGGATGCTTCATTCCCTGCCTGAACTGAGCTCCTCAGGGATCACAACTGATGCAGCTCAGGCTGCTCCTGCTGTGTGGGACTGCTGCCACTGACCTGTCAGCTCTCAAGACTTCACCTGCAGAGCTCTGCCTGGGGTCTAGGACACCTCTGGGCCAGCATTTGCTGAAAGAAGGAAAATTTTCTTCCTGTGTTAAAATTGGTACTGTGAGTCCTGCTCAGCTTGTGGTGTCAGTTCAGACTGGACAAAGCCTAACACTTGTCTCAGGACAGCAGAAGTATTTGATATGTTGTAAGATCACAAATATGTTCTGATTAGGAAAGTCAGGCTGAAATACCAGTTCCTGAGGGATCAGAGTAGCTGCCCTGTGTTCTGTCTCCTCGTGTAGCCTGACCTGGCTTTTCTTCCATGACACACACAGGATGTATTTCCCTTCCTGCTGCTCCTTTATCTCCAATGCCTTAAGTCAATAAAGATAGTAGAGAACTGAAAAATACTTACTAAACCCCTGTGGCTTAGAAATACCTTGTCTTCCTGAAGCTGAATCTCTTTTCTCTCAGGAGATAGAGCAGGGAGGGAATCGTCCCCAGTTTCTTGCTGTATTTGTTCTTAGTCTAAAGATCTGTGTCATGCTGCTGTTACATCTTCTGCCTAAACAACAGGAACTTTTTTTTTCCTGTTGCAGACTCCATCCTGTGAAGCCAATGAATGCCATGGCAAACAAGCCTCAGAGCAAGAACCTGAATGTCATCAGCACCATGAATGAAAAGCTGCTGGAAATGAGTGTGAAGGTATGGAGGGAAGTGGCACTTTCACTGCCCAAGCTTTGATTTAATTAAAGAGTTTGTGTATTCCAGGTAGCTGGGACATGAACTTCCTTTTGGGCAGCCCCCAAGCAAGGGAACAGTCCTTAAATGCTTATTTTCTTGCAAACTGATCTAAAATAGAGCTGGGGCTCATGCTTTGTGGAGGTTCTTGGGCACAACCACTTCCTTGGAGCACAGTCGTGCAGCTGGGACCAGCAGTGGGATTGAGAGGAGCTTTCAGCATAATCCTGGCCTCAAAAGAGATCTCCAGGCTTCAGGCACAGCTTACCTGCCACGTTGATCCCAAAGGCTGGGAGCATCCCTGGGTCAGCAGGGAAAATCACAGCTCCCCTTGTTGCCTGACAGGGTTTTTTTGGGGAAATAGAGAAGTTAGAACTGAAATAACAGCAGTGCTGCCTCCTGGTGTGAGCTGAGTGATTCAAACTGACACTGCTCTTTCAAGGGGGTTGAAAACTTGCAGTGGGTGTTGTGGTGTTCTGCTTCCACGTAAACTGTGTGTGATGCCCCACAGGAGCCTGTTGTGCTCACACAGCCTGCCTGGGCAGCGTTCTGGGAGCAGCAGGAATCAGCAGAAGCTGCCCAGTACCTCTCATGCTGTTTAAGGGTTCAAAACAGACTTTCCAAAGAAATAGGAAGAAACAGCAAAGCTCTGGGCGGGCATTTCTTGCTGTTTAACCCGAATTTGGCTTTACCAGTCTGCATTTAGGCAGCCAGTGTAAGCTTGACCAGGTTTGTTTAAGCAGCAGCTGTCACTGTGCTGGTCTGTGTGTTCTGCTGCTGGTTTGGAATGTCCTGTGTCTGCTCTGACTGTGCCTTCCCTCCCTCCGCAAGAAATACGATCCCTCAGACCCTGCCTATGCCTATGCTCAGCTGACACACGATGAGCTGATCCAGCTGGTGCTGAAACAGAAGGATACCATTACCAGGAAGGACCTCCAGGTGCGGGAGCTCGAGGACTACATCGACAACCTGCTTGTCAGAGTCATGGAAGAAACCCCAAACATCCTCCGTGTTTCCATGTCTGGCAACAGAAAAGCTGGGAAGATGTGAAGGGTCTGGGGGTGTTGGTGAGCAAGGACTGAATTCCCCCAGAGGAGGGTGAGGAGCTGGTGGTGCCGGTTGTGCTGCTCACACAAAATGACCTTTTTCCTGTTTCTGCCTTGAGCAACTCTTGGAGTGATTAATAGTTCCATCAGGTGTTGTAATGAACTCGCCTTATCATATTTATTTTTTGTTTTCTTCCCATTCTTTGGGAAGATCAGGCATTAATCCAAAGGCTAGTTGAGATGGGAAGGAGGAGGGTTTTTGATGTGTTTTGCTTCCCAGCAAGGCGCTGATGATCCTTTAGGAAGATTTTTTAAAATGGTTTTGTTTTGTAGCAGCTTTGATAGATCAGTTACTTTTCTTTCCACATCTGAGGTTGTAGTGCAATATAAATCCTTGTACAGTAGAGCTCGAGGATTTGATTGTTTTTAAAATAATAATTAGCTACACTGGAGAAGCCCAAAGATGTCCCAGCTTCAGGCCTGGACTGTAACTTTAAAGGAATTAATTGAAAGTTGACCATAAGTTGACCAAATCTCAGTTCATCTCCCCATGTGGATATTCCCAAGAGTCCTTCAAGGGAAAGTTTACAGGTTTTTAGGAGGAGACATTGAGGTTCACAGGACGTTTCTACCATAGGAATGGAATCAATCAGTTTGGGCCAAAGGTACATTTTAAATCAGAAGTTGTTCTCTTAGTGTCTTAAAATTTCTGCTCTGGAGGTTGTTCAGAGGAGGCAGAGGCTCCCCTGGCTTTGCCCCGTGCTCTGGAGCAGGGCTGGCTCTCACATCTTTGTGGGAGTTCTGTGACCATTTCCTTTTTACCCTGCATTCAGGAAACAGAAGTACTTTGTGTTTTGGAGCTGGGGCTCACCTTGAAGGGCCCTGCAAGGTGATCAGTCTTGCAGTGCTTTTTCCTGTCACTCCAGAGAGGGGAGGGAGTGCTGGGGCTCCCACCTGCTCTGGTTCCTTGCTGCTCGCAGTGTAGCTGAGGGCTGCTGGGCACTGCAGAGCTCCCTGGGTGTCTGGGTGGCTGCAGGGATGTTCTCCCCATCGTCAGCCAGCAGGAACAGCTCACTGCTGCTGAGCTGCCACCACAGCTGCCCCCACTGGAAACTACAGGGGGCTTTATTTTGGTGAGCTCTTGGCAAAGATCAAAACAATCAGACGCCTTTCTGCACCTCTGGGATTTACCAGGGTAGACAGAGTCCGTAAAAGGCTTAGAGGGAAGTTGGAAAGAGCAGGAAGCAAAGGACCAAAGCTTCATAAGGACCAAAGCTTAAAACTTTCCAGCCTTAATTCTTTGGAAATAAACACTCCTACCTTTGGAAACTGTTGGGGTTTTGGGTCACTCCTGGCTCAGGGGTGAGTTCCTAACTCGGTTTTTCTACAGCAAAGCACTTTATTGAGGGACTGGAGTGGCTGGATGGACTCTCACCTGTGAGCAGTCTGCTTACAATTGTCATAAACCACTGGAAACTACTGGAGATCTCAAATACTGTATTTCTTTAGGGAGGAGCAGCTTAATTTATTTGCACAGAGATGTAAACATTTATTAGAAAAAATCCAAGAAACTCTGTTAATAACATTTTTATTCTGACCTATTGCTGCTACCAAAGTCTGGAACTTTCCTGGCAGAGCTGTATCTCATGGGCAGCCTGACCTCAAACAAGCCTTAGGAGCTGAGAGTCTTGCAAGACTTCAGGTACTTTTATCTCATTTTAGTGTTACTTGAGCAGCGAGGGCCTTCTCTCTCCTCTCCTGTCCCCTCTGCTCTGAACGAAGGCTCTGAAGGTGGCCTTGGTGGAGGTGCTGGTTTGATTCTGGGTGCTGCTGCTGCCTCTTGTGCCTTCTCGAGCGAGGAAGATGAAGGATTGATTGTTTCCTCCTCGTGCCTCTGTGGATCTCTGGACAGAGGATCCCACACCTCTCTGATAAACTTGCATTTTAGACTGTCTTCCGCTGGGAAGAGTGACCTGCACAGAACCAAAGCAATAAACAATATTAGCAGAGATAAAGCCTTAAAACTTGGAGTAGGCTCCCCTGGCAGCCTTTTTGTGCCCTGGGTGGCTGCGCTGGGGCATCCTCATCCTCGCCTTCCTCAGCCCCAAAAGCATCACCCCACCCTCATAACTCCATTTTATTGGCAATACTCGTTAAAGCCTTCCTCTGGTGTGAGGGGACTGGCATTTTACATCCTCAAGGGCCTTAAGAATCAAATGTATTGTTTTATTATTGAAGGATCTGACTGCGTGTTCCCTGTTTTTACTCTCTGCTTTTAGCCCAGGGTTACTGTTTGTTTTTAAACAGCTTTTGCTTTTATGGAACACTAAAATAAAAACACCTTAAAGCCGGTGTTGTGATCACTGTGTCTGTTCTGAAAGAGCAGTTTCCAAAGGGCCTCGTCCCCTCCTTGTGCCCCGCTCATCCTCCAGGTGTTTGGGGCTGGTGTCATCCCTGCGGGAATTTCCTGCTGAACAACTCAGGGGGTGCGGGAACCTGCCCGTGACCGGGGGAGAGACCCCGGGCCCGCAGCGCTCCAGGGCCCCGGCGCTGCTCCCTGGAGGCTGCCGAGCGCGGATATCGCCCTGATCCTCCGCAGCGATGGGCCCGGGGCCTCCGAGCCGGGGTGATGTGCGGTTCCACGCCGAGGAGGACGCGTTGTCCCCTCGGTCCCGCTCCCTCCGCAGCTCCCGGCGCCGCCGCCGCCTCCCCTGGGCATCCCCGGCGGGGCCGGAACGCAGCGTGCACGGACGGTGCATCGGCCGGACGGGCGTCGGGACGGACCGCGGGCGGCTCCGCTATTGGCTGGCTCTGGTCGGGCTGTGCCGCTTATTGGCTGGCTCGGGCAGGGCTGTACCACTATTGGCTGGCTCGGGCCGGGCTGTGCCGCTATTGGTTGGCTCGGGCCGGGCTGTGCCGCTATTGGCTGGCTCGGGCCGGGCTGTGCCGCTATTGGCTGGCTCGGGCCGGGCTGTGCCGCTATTGGTTGGCTCGGGCCGGGCTGTGCCGCTATTGGCTGTTGGAGGTGCACCGCCCCGGCGCTCCCCCAGTGCTGAGGGACGATGGCGGCGCGGGGCCGCTGCCCCGAGTGCGGCTCGGGGTCCCTGGTGGAGGACGCGCACTACGCGCAGCAGCAGCTGGTCTGCGCCGCCTGCGGCTGCGTCCTGTCCGAGGGGCTCCTCACCACCACCTACACCGACGAGGAGCATCTGCGGGGTGCGGCCCCGGCACCGGGAGCGAGGGGCGCTGCGGAACCGGCCGTGCGCGGCCCGTTCGGGCTCTCCGAGTCGGTCCGGGGAGCGCAGCGCTCCCCGAGCTGTGGCTGTGCCCGCCCGGTCCGCGCTGTGCCCGCCGGGTCGGCTCAGGCCTCCCTCCGTCCCCCAGCCCCATTTCCCATCACAGGGCAGCACTTGCGGCTCTTCCCTGCCAGGGTCTGGGCTGGGAGCCGGGATGAGCTTCAAGTTTAAACTGTGAAATCTCTTATTGTTAAAAGAGATTGTTCAAATTTCGTTTAAATCTCTTAGGAGAGCTTTAAGTGCAGCGGAGCAGCCTCGAGGCTGTTGCCTGGCTCTGTCTGTAGGAAATCCTTGACTCAGAGGAGATCAGTGCCCTCCAGCAGCTCTGATTGTTGGAGGAATTGATTGAATTCTCCGGTTGCCGCAGAATTCCCTGCAGGACTGACTGATCCAACCCTGTTTTCCAGAGGTCGCCTATTCCCAGAGCACCGGCCAGAAGGAGCAGCTGAGCCGCTGCCTGCAGCGAGGTAAGAGCAGTTCCCACCGAGCTGATCCTCCCTGGCTGCTGCCTCGCTCTGTCTGACCTGGTTCTGGGGCTGGAAAAGCCTCAGAAGCTCCTTGGGGCCCGGGGAGGGCACTCGGTGCTGGATCCAGCCGGAGCCTCCCCTGCCCTGAGGGGCTGGGAGGTGTTTCAGTGCCGTGTGTGGGGCTGGGAGGTGTTTCAGTGCCGTGTGTGGGGCTGGGAGGTGTTTCAGTGCCGTGTGTGGGGCTGGGAGGTGTTTCAGTGCCAGCTGTGGGGCTGGGAGGTGTTTCAGTGCCCTGTGTGGGGCTGGGAGGTGTTTCAGTGCCAGCTGTGGGGCTGGCTGTGCCCAGGCCAGGTGGATGCTGCCTGCTGGGGTTCTCAGGAGAAGTTCCTTGACCCCGTGTGTGAGGGTGGCCTCTTCCCGCAGGGATCCGGCGGGTCCAGGACCTCTGCAAGGTGCTGCAGCTCCCGGCGGTGTTTGAGGAAACGGCCGTGTCCTACTTCCAGAGGGCTCTGCAGCTCCCTGCCTTCCACCTGGTCAGCCTGGAGAAGAAGGAGCTGCTGGGGGGCTGCTGCGTGTTCGTGACGTGCCGCCAGCACAACTGGCCCCTGACCATGGGCACCATCTGCTCCCTCCTGTACGCCAGGCAGGACCTGTTCGCCAGCGTCTACCTGAGCCTGCAGAAGGAGCTGGGGCTCTCGGTGCCCGCCCTGAGCCTGGCAGACCTGGTGACCACGCACCTCAACAGGTGATGGGATCCCTTCCAGCCCTGGGGCAGCCCTTGTTTGCCCTGGCTGGGTGGAGAGGCGGGGATGTGGCCCTGGGCAGGGCTGAGCTGTGATGTAGATGTGTGTGCTCAGGCTGGCCTGGCTTTTGTCCCTCCCTTGTTACAGCTGGGCTGTGCTTGTCACCCTGCCCCGTTCTCCGCAGTCTGGAGAGGGCAGAGAGGTGCTCAGGGAGGAACCAGAATCCCAGAGTCACTGAGGCTGGAAAAGATCCCTGGGGCCATGGAGTCCAAGCTGTGCCCGATGCCCAGAGCACTGAGTGCCAGCTCCAGGGATGGGGACTCCACCACCTCCCTGGCAGCGATTCCAGTGCCTGGGAGGCCTTTCCATGAAGCAATTCCTCCTGCTGGCCATGATCAGCAGCTGTGGGGAGAGCAGGGTGTGTTTGTCCCCAAGGCTCCCCCTGACCGTGGCCTCTTTGCTCCAGCAGCTTCCGGCTGCTCCAGCCCTCGGCCAACGTCCCCGCGCCGTTCCTGGAGGACAAAGAGAAGCTGCTGGCCCGGACCATGGCCATTGTGGAGCTGGCCAGCGAGACGTGGCTGGTGACGGGCCGGCACCCCGTGCCCATCGTCACGGCTGCGGCGTTCCTGGCCTGGCAGTCGCTGCGGCCCAGCCCGCGCCTCTCGTGCCCCTTGGCGCGGTTCTGCCGCCTGGCCGGGGTGGATCTGCCGCCCCCGGCCCACCTCAGGCTGAAGGAGCTGCTGGAGATCCTGCAGGGAATGGCCTCCCAGCTCTCCTGGCTGCGCGGCTTTGACCTGGACAAGAAAACGGTGGTGAAGCACCTCGGGGACCTGCTGCAGCACCGCGTGTTCCTGCTGAAAAACGCCTTCAGCCAGCAGGACGGGGAGGAGCAGCAGGACACGGCCCCGGGCCAGGGATCCCCAGGCCAGGATCCTGGGGGCTCCTTGGATAAGGATTCCTCAGGCCAGGATTCCCCAGGCCAGGATCCTGTGGGCTCCCCGGATAAGGACTCTCCAGGCCAGGATCCTGTAGGCTCCTCGGATAAGGACTCCCCAGATAAGGATTCCCCAGTTCAGGATCCTGGGGGCTCCCTGGATAAGGATTCCCCAGTTCCAGATCCTGGGGGCTCCCTGGATAAGGACTCCCCAGATAAGGATTCCCCAGTTCCGGATCCTGCGGGCTCCTTGGATAAAGACTCCCCAGATAAGGACTCCTCAGGCCAGGATTCCCCAGGCCAGGGCTCTCCTCCAGTGGCACAGGAGCAGGGCTGTCCCTCGGCAGGGAAGCCCCGGCGTGGGGGCACCCTGAGGCCGCTGCTCCCACCCTGCCTCATCCACCCGAGGAAGAGGCTGCGCCCGGCGGCTCCGAGCGCCCCGGCCTCGGCCCTCACGGGCGACGAGCCCATCTCGGACAGCGAGATCGAGCAGTACCTGCGCAGCCCCGACGAGATCCGCGCCTTCAGGAAGGCCAAGGCCTGGCTGTGATGGTGGCCCAGAGGACGGTGCTGCCAGGGACAGTTTGGGGACCAAAAGTGTGAAGCCCAGCAGGGACAGAGTGATTGTGCTGCAGAGACAGGCACCCAGGGAATGAGGCTGTGGGGAGGGAGCAGCCTGGGTCCTCCTTAATGTGCTGGACCAAAATGGGGTTTTTAGGGAGTCACTGCTTCAGGTCACATTACGTTTCTGTTAAAAATAAATAAAAGTGCAAGTGCCAGTTTTTCCAGGGGTAGCCTCACCTTGGATTTCTCATTCTTCAGCAGAATGACTTTGTGAGGGTCAAAAAACTGCAAGCCAGGCTGTATTTGAACATGAAGTCTGAGAGAAATAACAGTAGATCTTGGCAGATTGGCATATCTTTAATATATTAAACAAAACATATCTGCTAGAAACATTCTATTCATATAAAAATGCAAAAAGACCCCTTTAAAGACATTTCTTTGGCATATTTCCCTCCCCCCGGATATTGCAGGAAGCTCTGTTGATATGTCATTCGCTTGTAAACAGACAAAACAAAGTGTAATTAGGAATACAAAGCTTTTTCTCTAATACTGTCACAATGCAGCAAGCAATAGGACACGGGGCATCAGCCAGGCTGGGGAGGCTGCAGGAGCTGCAGTAACAATTCAAACTGTGTTAAATACCAGGGACAGTGAAATATTTAAACATTTCATTGGGCAGAGAAGCCGAGGCAGGCAGGGAGCGGCAGGTTAAGCTCAGGGGTGCCCCAGCCTCCTAGGGTGAGAGGTTTCCAGGTGAGACCAATCCCCACTAAGTGCTTTTTCCTCCCCTGGCTCGTGGTCCTGCCAACCCCACAACCCCTCGGAGGTAGCTACGTCATTAAACTCGTTTGCAGGCGGGGGAAACTGAGGCAGGGGAGGCTGGAAAGGGCAGGGGAGGTACCAGGCTCCCACCTTCCTCCTGTGCTTTGCTGCAGCCTCTCTGGCCTGGCTGTTTTACATGTGCTGGGGAAAGGGGAAACTTGTTCTTTAATGGGAACAGTAAGTGCTTATCCAGGTTCCAGCCCTTTGTCTGTCTGAGGAAGGTCCCTCATTCCTCAGCATCATTCTCTTGCATTCCCAGGAACGGTCTCTGCCTTCTTGAGAGCAAACCCAAGTATTTTCTGAGCTTGAACACTTGGATTTAGGACACAGCTGCTCTGGGCCTCTCCCACATCTTGGTTCTTTGGTTCTTTGGTTCTTTGGCACAGAGGGTCAGTCCTGACTCCGGCAGCAGCACAGATCTTCCAGCCCACCCCATTGCATGGCTTGAGCCTCTGAGGGCCTGGGAGCCTTTTCTGGCTGTGGTTTTAATGCCTCGAGCCTTTTCTGGCCGTTATTTTAGTGTCTGGCATTAAAGCAGTGCAGACAATCACCTCACCTTGGAGCTGAGGCTCCTCTTACCTTGCGCTTGGCTTTGCAGTATGGCTTTGGCACCGTGCAGCCCCCAGGGCTGGCAGGCAGGTAGGAACGTTCCAGAGGGAGCAGCTGCTCCCTCTCCAGATGCAGTTTGCTCAGGCTGGGGCTGCGGTGCCTGGACGTAAAGGGCACTTGGAGTGGTCCCTCGGGGAATATTGCAGTCGTGGCACAGGGACGGGAGCGGGGCCCTCGCGTCACCTACGGCTCTGTCTATACATATATACATTCAATAATATAGCTTTGAAAAATAGACATTTCCTCTGTATAATATAAAATAGCATTTAGGATCAATCTCAAGTGACATGCAGGAGCGATTAAAGCACGGCTGCAATCCCGGCTGCTGGCGGGCAGGGATTGCCTGGAGCCTCCCCGCGGAGATGGGTGGGCTCGGGATCGTGCTGTGCTCGGAGCCCCCGGCCCATCCCTGCTAGTGCACGCGGTGATTCCCGCAGCGCCGTGCCCCGAGCAGCTCCGGCCGCGGCTCCCGCAGGAAAACCCTGCGCCCGTCGGTCCTTCCCCACCTTCACACGGTGGTTTCGCTCTTCCAGAGGCCGGTCTTCATGCCGGCCACGCTGTCGGCGCCGGCCAGGTTGATGTCGTACTTGCTGCCCTTGAAGCCGCCGTTGTGGCTGCCCACGTTGAGGGGGTACGAGCGGCGCTTCGCCTCCCTCTCGGCGCCGCCGCCCGGCCGCAGGTTGTCCCGGCTGCCGCTCCTCCGGCGAGCCTCGGCCAGCTCGGGCACCCGGCGCCCGCCGTCGCTGCCCTCCGAGGGGCTGGGGAGCGCTTCTCCATCCTGCGGCACCCGCGGCCGGCCGCCGCTGCCCGGGCTGGTCCTGCCGCTGGGGTAGCTCTCTGAGTGGCTGTTGTGGAGGCTCCCGCTCTCGCTGGACAGGTGCTCCGAGGGGCCCCGCAGCATTTTCAAGCGGTGGTGCTTCCCGTCCCGGCACGGCTTAGTTCTGCCCCTGTGGCTCCTGCGGCCGTGAAGGTTGCTGCTGTGCCTCACGGGCTTCCCGTCGGCCGGGTCCGGCTCGGGGCAGGGCGCCGGGCGAGCGTCCGCCTGGCTCTGGGCTACCTGCAGGTTGGTGAGCTTGCAGCGGCCCCCGGCTGAGCCGGCGCTGCTGGGGGAGGAGGAGGCTCCGGAGCGAGCGGCCTCGGGGTCGCAGCCGATGAAGACCTGGGAGCCGTCCTCTGGCCCCAGCCCGGGGTGCACGTAGGCCTGCATGGGCAGCGCGTTCCGGTACGACGGGCAGCAGGAGAACCAGGAGCTGAGCACGTCCCGGCGCCGGAGGCAGTGATGGACGAAGATGAAGAGCCCCAGCGCCACGGCGGTGACGCCGTAGAGGCAGCTGAAGACGATGTTCAGATACCAGCGCTGGGACACGGCCATGGCGCCGAACGTCCACAGGGCCACGTACAGGCTGTGGGTGGCCAGCAGCGCCCAGAACTGCACCCGCAGGGAGTGGACACCGTCCCCCTCGGGACAGGATGGCCCCGAGTTCAGCGTCACTGAGATGGACCCAGAGTCTGTCAGGAGGTCGCTGGTACCCCCCAGCCGTGGCGGTGGCTCCAGCGGCTCCGGGATGTCTTTCTGCTGCGAGGGTCGGCACTGGAGGCTGAGCCCGGCACAGAGGAAATAAACCCAGGTGACGAGCAGGATGAAAGTCACGGGGACGTAGAAAGCGCCCAGGCTGGGCCGCCACACCAGCCAGCAGCTGTGCGGGAGGAGAGGGGCTCTGAGGGGCGGTGCGGAGCTGCTCGGCACCCCTGCCCTGATGGCACGGGCTCTGTGGAGCCTTGCCGGCTGCCTGGACAATTTTTTCCCCAGTGTATGGATAACTCTCAGGAAAAATCTCACTTTCCTAAACCTCTCCAGACTCCCAGTGCCACCAGCTCCCCGGCCGCGGCAGAGGGAGGAAGAGTAGAGCAGGGACACTTACTAGGGGTTGTTGTCGTGGTAGTTTTGGATGTTGACAGCTGCTGTGATCCCACAGATGATGAGGGGGATCCCGCCGGCGATCAGGTAGAACCTGTGGGGAGAGGAAGTGTCACTGCACACCTGGAGCCCGAGGGAGAGCAGGTCCCGCCCCAGCCCCTGAGCTGCCCCGCGGGCCCGAGCGGGGGGAAGGAGGCTCCGCACCGCAGCATGGGTCTGGGGGCTGCCTGGGCCGTGTCCCTGTCCGGTTGCTGCGGCGCCTTCCAGGTCACCTCCTTGTAGAGCACCCGGGCTTTCACCGCCATCCAGAGCAGCGTGGAGAGGGACGAGTAGTGCAAGATGATCCCGACCTGCGGGAGGAGGCCGCGGTTGGGGAGGGGATGCTGCAGACACGGCCCAGCGCCCGTCCCGCAGGGCCCGCCGTGCCCGGTACCCACGGCCTGGCACACGGCCCGGTAGCCGGTGAGGGTGATGCCTCCCGCGAAGACGGCGGCCGTCATGGCGATGTGGAAGCAGAGGTTCAGCAGCATGTGCCAGCCCTTCCGCGGGATGAGGATGGTGCTGCGAGAGCAAGAGGCACAGCGGGGACCTGTGAGCTCCTGCCCGGCCCCGAGAGAGCCGCGGCTCCCTCTGGCACAAATCGGGGAGGCACCAACAGCCTGTCCCTGGCCACGGAGTGTGGCTGGAGGAGGAGATGTACAGCTGTGTTCCTGCACACGGGCAAAGGAGCAGGAGCCAGGGCCACTCGCCGGGCAGCACATTCCTGGAGGGCCAACTCCTGAGAACCCGTGTCCTAAAGGGCCGTCCCCGTACACCTTCTCCTGGCTGATGGCACCTGGGGAGCTCCTCCCGCTGCCCACAGAGACACCCACCCCACCCCGGCACAGCCCCCGGGCCCCCAGCACAGCCCCCAGACCCCCAGCACAGCCCCCAGACCCCCAGCACAGCCCCCAGACCCCCAGCACAGTCGCCGGACGCTCCCTCACCCG